TCAAGCTGTTTCCCATAGTGACTGCTCCATTTACAGTTCCATCAGTAATGTATAAATGTTCCAATTTCTCTACTTCCTTGCCAATATTTGATATTTCCCCATTTTTACTTATTATAGCTCTCCTAGTGGGTGTGAAGTGATAACATATTGTAGTTTTTATTTGCATTTCATTAATGACTAATTATGTTGAGAATCTTCTCATGTGCTTGCTGTCCATTTGTATATCATTTTTGGAGAAATGTCTCCTCAAGTCTTTTGCCATTTTTTGGATTGGATTATTTGTCTTTGGTTAATTTTTGTAAGAGTTTTTAAAAATATATTCTAGACACTGGACCACTATCAAATATATGATTTGTAAATATCATCTCCTTTTCTACAGGTATTTTTTTCACTTTATTGATGATGTCCTTTGATATACAAGTTTTTAATTTTGATAAGGCTCAGTTATCTTTCTTTTCTTTTGTTGCCCATGCTTTAGGTGTCATATCTAACAATTGCCAAATCCAAGAACATGAGGTCTTACCCATATGTTTTCTTATAAAATTTTATAGTTTTAGCCCCTATATTTAGGTTACTAGTCCATTTTGAATTAATTTTTTATGTATTATGAGATAGAGGCATAACTTTAACAAATTTTTTTTATTATACTTTATCTTCTGGGGTACATGTGTAGAAAGTGCAGGTTACATAGGTATACACGTGCAACTTTATAGTGTCTTTGTTTAAATGTGGATATCAAGTTGCCTCAGCACCATTTGTTGAAGAGGATGTTCTTTCCCAACTGAATGGATCTGATACCCTTGTGCTTGTACCATAACGTTTTGGTTACTTCATGTTTTTAAGTAAGTCTGAAGTTGCTGAGAACTGTGAGTCCTCCTACTTCGTTATTTTTCAATATCGTTTTAGATATTCATGGTCCCTTGCAATTCTCTATAAATTTGAAAATTAGCTTTTTTATTTCTACCAAAAAGATTGTTGGACTGTTAGAGTTCTGATAGGGATTGCATTGATTTTGTAGGTATCTTTGGTTAGTATTGCCATCTTAAAACTGTTAAGTCTTCAAAATCCAAGAAATGAGATGTCTTGTCATTTATTTATATCTTCTTTAATTTATTTCAGCATTGCTTTATAGTTTTCCATATATAAGTTTTTCACCTGCTTGGTTAAATTTATTCTTAGAATTTTATTATTCCGGATACTATTGTAATTGAGATTGTTTTATTTTCTTTTATGAATTGTTCATTGCTGGTGTATAGAAACATAACTAACTTCTTTTTGTGTGTTGACATCGTACCCTGAAACTAATGAATTCATTTATTAGCTGTATTAGTTTTGTGGCTTTGTGGATTTGGGGTATTTTCTATATATAGGATCTTGTCATTTGTAAATTGGGATAGTTTTACTTCTTCCTTTACAATTTAATTCTTTTTCTTGCCTAAACTCTTTAGCTAGAAATTCTAGTATAATTTTTAATAGCAATGGTGAAAGCAGATGTCCTTTTCATGTTCCTGATCTTAGGTAAAAAGTTTATTGTCTTTTACCATTGAGTATGATGTAGTTTATTTTCTTTTGTCGTCGAATAATATTCTCTTGTCTGATTTAATTATTTTTGTGTTAAAATATTTACTTTATCTGTAATGTGTTTATTATAAGGCTTGAAGTAGGGACCCAGGTTATTTCCATGTGACTTTCAATTTTTTTACCAAAATTTATTAATTTACCTTTCTCCCCACTAATATGCACTTTCTTTATAATGTGTTAAATTTACCTGCTTTTGCTTCAAATTTTAGCTTCTCTATTTTCTTTTATTTACCTCTCTTTATTCATTTTCTGTAACTACACTATTTTAGTTATTTTAGCCTTATAATATTTCTTTATATCTGATGGCATTAATCTTCAAAACCCTTTTTCATAAATTTTACTTCGTTTTGATTTTTTAATGTGAATTCTGATATCACCTTATTTGTTTCAAAAACAAGCCTGTTGGCACATTTTAATAAAATCATACTGAATATATAAATTAATTGAGGAAGAATTCATAATTTATAATATTTGTCTTATAATCCAAAACAAGAATATGGTTTCCCATTTGTTCATGCCATATTTTTGTCCTCTACTATCTTTAAGCATTTTCTTCATGTAGAGCATGCAAATAATTTTTTAAATAATTGTTTCTAGGCCAGTGGAATCATTTCCCAAAGAAAAGCTTTAATCTTTCTTGAGTTTCATATTTAGAAGATCCTCATAAGTGCCCTGGAAATCAGGTGTTATTATCTTTCTTTTTTGGGTGGGGTGGGGCAGAGTCTCGCTCTGTCACCCTGGCTGGAGTGCAGTGGGCTGATCTTGGCTCACTGTAACCTCTGCCTTCCGGGTTCAAGTGATTCTCCTGCCTCAGCCTCCCAAGTAGCTGGGATTACAGGCAAATGCCACCATGCCCAGCTACTTACTGATTTTTGGTATAGACAGGGTTTCACCATCCTTGCCAGGCTCGTCTCAAACTCCTGACTTCATGTGATCCGCCTGCCTCAGCCTCCCAAATTGTTGAGATTACAGGTGTGAGCCACTGCGCCCAGTCCAGGTGTTACTATTCTTGCACTACATCATTGGAAAGTATCAGAGTCTGTATTCATACCCATGTCTGCCTGACACAAACATCTGCATTCCGAATCACAGCGCTGTAACATGTGGTTAAGAGAGATGGATTGAATCGGACTTAACAGGTCAGTCTTTCCCAGAGAAGGTTGGAACATGCCCCCACTGTCTATGCATGGATATTTCCAGGTCTATACCTGGACCTTTGAGTCTTAAGTAATAAAAGTCAAAGTACAAGTAGTCACTCCTCCTCCATTTGTTTAGGTACTGGCTTCAAAACCAGCCAGTCAAGTTACTTCCCTTTCTAAATCCCTCCTGGTGGTGCCACATACCTACAGTGACTCCTATCTATTTCAGTACAGAAAGCCTAGGAGAAGAAACACATCCTACTTGTGTTGATGAAGGCAGAGTGGATGGAGGAGATGATCTCTGAGTTGAGGCTTCAGGCAAGCAGAAGATAGAAATTGATTGGGACATATTACATTATAAGATGTTTGGTAAAGTTAGATTTTTGTCCCTTAAATTATAGTATTTGTACCACTAGGGGTATGAGTCAGTCTGAAGGAGGTGGGAAGCTTTAAAATAAAATGGTAAAATTTCCTGGATAGTCAATTTTACTGGAAATATGTGAAAGGATTTTATTTTCAAATTCATATCCACATATTTATGAGGCCTGGGCTCTGAAATCTTTGCAAAAACAACACATAAAAGAAAATGCGACTACATATGGAATATGATATGTGGAGTTACTGCTGTTGCAGGCAGCTCAGTTATTCCAGCATTAATAGATTAATTCTTATGATATGTCACTACCTAAGAATAGATAGAAAACTAGCTTTCTTTGGCTTCCACTTTTTGTCTGATCAATAATTTTAAAAATAATTTTATATTTAAAAAATGGTATACTGTTGAGCAGAAAATAAAATTCGCATAAATTTTCAAGTTAAAATATGGAACTTCAAAGACATTTCTTCAATTGATGGGGCACTTCAGGCTATGCTTTCTTACTGCTTGAGGATGCGGGTTCAGCCTTTGGGCATTTAGGGAACTGAGCTTTAGCCTTCAGTGCATATAGCTCTTAGAGAGAAGTAGCTACTGTTAATATTTCAGTACATTTTTCCTCCTGCCTATTATCAATATCTGTGTGTGTTTTTGTATTGATATTATTCTGCAGCGCATTTTAATTTTGAGATAATAATGCATTTCATATTATCAAAAAAATGTTTCAAGCTATTCCTTCTATAGATGTGTAGCACACTACCTTAATATATCATACATTTTGCTCACTTTTCTTATGTGGGATAGTTTCATTTTTAAAAATGAGGCTATGAACAAATATATTTATATGCAGTCAACTCTTCCGCCAAAATCTAGCCAATATGAAGTTATTGTTCTTACCTCAAAATCTAAGCTGTGGACAAGGGCATGAATCAAGGGTCCATGAGACAACTACCCCCACCCCAACCCCCCAGGTGCCAGCAACTTCGCTCTATACTCTGTGATGAACTGCTTGACAAGTACCTCTCTGGTGGTAACTGACTTCCAACAAGATGAACTACAGAAGCAGAGAAAATAGAATCATCATCATCATAACACAATAGGAATAACAATACTATGGACACTTGTAAAGCACATACCATATGCCAAGCATTATCCTAAACACTTTATATTTTGACTGATTTAATCATCCCAACCCTGTGAGACACATTCTCTTGTTGTCACCACTTGATGGGAAAACAGAAATACAAAGAGGTTAAGTGACTTTCTCAAGATTGCGTAGTAAGTAAAATGGCAGAACCAGGCTTCAAACCCACGTGGTCTGGCTTCAGGCATTGTGCTCTAACACTGACACCAAACTTGTTGATGAGACCCTAACACCAGATAAAAATGGCTGCTAAAGAGGACAGGAAAAAAAAGAGAATGAAGGTGAAGTGACAGGAGGAATGGAGGAGGCCACAAAGATGTACTGGCGCTCTGCCAGTCACTTTATATATCTTATTTAAGTTTCCAAAGAATACTGAATGGTAGAAATATTTGTCCCAACTTAGAGATGAGAAAATTGAGTCTCAAAATATGGATTTACTTGCTCAAAGAGACAGAGCTCATGTTGGATGGAGCCTGCATTTTCTCCAGGAGAGCCTCCCAGGAGAGCTCCCAGAAGAGTAATTTAAGAAGCTTTTATGGTCCAGATTTGACTTTCATTTGGGCATACCTTTAAGTCACTTGGAGCCTTTTTCATGCACAGCCACAGAGCATTTCCCAGGCTTGCACTGCTGACAAGGAGACAGTTGTCAGTAAAAAATGGCTCTCTGGCCACCCAGCCCACCTTCTGAGGACCAAACATACTGAAGAATGGCTTATCACCTGATTTTATTGACTCTAACCCCAAATCATCTTTCTTTAAATAGGCTGTTTTCAAAGGGTGAGTGGAAAGAAGTGTCATACCATTGCACAGCAGCCAAGACAAATCGTCAAAGAACTTGGCAGCCTGGAAGAAAACCTTTCCTGAAGTTACAGATGTGGAATTAACCTTTACATCCATCCTGCAAAGTGGGAAGACACAGGCAAGTGAGATTTAACTGGGGAAATGAAAAAAAGATTCTTACCCTGTGTTCAGACAGAAAGCAGAAAATGCCAGAGGAATCTATTACGGTCCTGGGCGGGCATCTTGAAATGTAAGAATAGCCATAGGCTTGCTTTCTCTAGTGCCTTTCATCTCTGAGCTTTTTACAACACATAAATACACCAAGCTCCTTTCACTTAGTACTGCAAAGTTGCCACCTCTGAGACAGAATATAACAGTCATTTAGCACCCGCGCGACTACCTCCAGCATCTAAAATTTCCCCTTTTAAAATCCTCTCTTCTTCAAGAAGTCATTCGCCTGCCTGACAGTCGGTCAAGCCCTTTGCCACGGTAGGTTGGTCTTACCGGATCTGTCTGTCTTCCACTGCTATGACATCATCTGTTACCATCTGCCTGATTTTTTGTCTCTGCATTTCAACCACCTTGGCTTGTGTTTACATCTTCTGCTTCTCCAAAGCCTTTTCCAACTCAGGACTTCGAAAATGCTGCTGCTTCTTCCTGGATCATTCCTCCCTTCCACTTTCCCGAGATGGACCCTCTCTCATCTGTCAGATCTCAAAATGTCACCAATCCCCCTAAAGACCTTCCCTGTCTACATCATGTAAAGTAACATCCTTGTTCCCTGTCAACTTCAGACTCCATCACATCACTTGCTTGCTGTCTTCATAGAATGTACAGTCATTGAAGTGTGCTCTTTTTATGTGTTTACCTTTTGTCTGTCTTCCCTGTTAGACCAGAATTCTTATAAGAACGAGGGCCTCATTTCTCTTTCTCCCTTTTCCACTTATGTCCTAACATACAACAGTGTGTTTAGTTTGTAGTAGACCTCAATTTAACAACATATTTTTGAATGAATGGATGCTTAAATGCATTGTTAAGTCACTTCGTCAGTTATTCAGACTGTCTTCTTTATCCTGTGACTTAAACCCATTTTCTCAGTTTCTCGTAGAGGTGGAAAATATTCACTGGAAGAGTGTAGGCAAGAGGAGAAGCTTTGTTAGAACTGGAATTAAAAGAACTCATTCCGTTTTATCTTTGCTACCTGATTACTGGATATTTTAGAGAAATACAGGCTCTCAGAACATCAGTTTTCTTTTTGATAAGGGAGTTAATGGTGTTTCTGGGTAAAGGTAACACGCTCAAGTTGAATCACAGATCTACATTTGCCCATGACTCATGAAATTAATAAGGAATTGTAAACACCATTGCTAGCAACAACCGTATAATGAAAGGGATTCAACTTAGTGGTCTAAACTTTAAGATGAGGGTAAAGAAAAGGAACAGAATACTCTATCAAAGTGCCGCAGAGCTTTGAACCCTGGCTTTATTCACTGGCACAGTGCTGGGCCTGGGGGCAGGGTAAGGAGGCAAGACAGTAAAATATTTATTAGTACTTCCCACTTTGAGATGTGGCCCAAGGTGTTGCCCATTGGAAGTCACAGAACAGCCTTCAATCTTGGCTACTTATGAAAAAAATTATTTTTATTGAGGCGGGGTGGAGCCACCAAGTTCTACCTGCCTTTTTGAAGCCCCTAGACCTAATTAGGCATAAAATTCAACATGTAAATTAATTTTCTCAAGTCATTAAAACACACCTTCAAATAAAGGGAGAAAATTAAAACACACCTTCAAATAAATAAAGATCAAATAAATTAGATCTTGGGAATTTAACTTGAGAGGGGTGGGGAGGGGAAGAGATAAAGACAAAACCTAGATAAACCAAGAACTTCCACAACTAGGTTTGCTCCCCATCCTATCTCACATCTCCCATTCTGTACGTGGCAAAGGATATGTAAGCAACCTAGACTCAAGCTCTCACTCATCAGAAAGATGAACAGTTTCCAAATAAAGACCAAATAAGAACCAAACAAATACACCCATGCGTATATATTTTTGACTTCAAATAAAAGGTGTGAAAAGAGTTAGTATTAATAAGAAGCTTATAGAAGCCTTGCAACCTGAAAATCTACTAATGCAACGAAAAGGCAAGATATAGAGAACCATGTCACATGGCTCACAAGATAATGAAGAAACCTGTTGGAAAGAAAACATAGCTTACAGAAATGCATGAAGAGTACCTCAAGCTATAGAAAACAATACTAATTAGAATGAAAGTTCAGTAATATTAGACACAAAGTTGAGTCAATAGAACAATGGAATGGGATGAAACAGGTGTTGCAGATTTTGGAGAATAAATTAAGAACCAAAACAACATTATTATAAAATTAATGAATTTAATAGATTTCATAAGAATAAAATGTGCTCACCTGCAAGTAAAATAACTGCATAGGAAAACATCTCTGCAAAACCTTATAAATGAAGACGAACATACATCAGATTATAAAAACTTAAAAAGGACGATCATAAGCATGGGTTGTCTTATTTTGCCATCATATGGTGAGAGCCTGTTTTTGTACGAGACCAAAAGAGAATGACAGAAGGCCAAGAGATAGAAACAGAGTCCATGCAGTATCACTTAATCACTTGCTTCAACTGTGCCTGAAGCTAGAAGTTCCCCCTTTGGACTTTCCAGTTAGCTGAGGAAGAAATTCTCCACTTCTTTGCATAAAACAATTTTAGATTTTTTCACTTGTACCTAAAATCAACCTTCTGAATACAGTATTTAGAGCTTAAAACAGTCAAGAATTGGGGCCAGGTATGGTGGCTCACACCTGTAATCCCAGCACTTTGGGAGGCTGAGGTGGGCAAATCACCTGAGGTCGGGAGTTCAAGACCAACCTGACCAACATGGAGAAACCCCATCTCTACTTAAAATACAAAATCAGCCAGGTGTGGTGGCACATGCCTGTAATCCCAGCCACTCAGGAGGCTGAGGCAGGAGGATCACTTGAAGCTGGGAGGTGGAGGTTGCAGTGAGCCAAGATCGTGCCACTGTACTCCAGCCTGGGTGACAGAGCCAGACCCCGTCTCAAAAAAAAAAAAAAAAAAAAAAAAAAATTAAGCTTTCAGTGTCATATTTCCTCACCTGAAACATGAGGATAATAATTATACCTACCTCATAAGGAGGTTGTGTGGGATATATCTCTGTCTATATTTGTATCTGTATCTGATATCTATATTTATCTCTCTCTCTCTCTCTCTCTCTCTCTCTATATATATATATATATATATGTATGTGTATATATATATATCTTACATATCTAGTACAATATAGTACAATGTCTGGCACATACTGAGGGTGTTCGTGGAAGCTATTATTATTGAGTTCAGAATTAATTCCACTATGCTATCTTATCTAAAGTGAAGATATAAGTTGGTTCCATATGATTTGTTCTCAAAAGGTTTCACTGATGAACTCTTACATAGCACTTAATATATGACAGGCATTTTTCTATGTATTTTACATACGTTAGTTCATTTAACCCTTACAAAATCCTTACAAAAAGCACTTTACTACATTGATTTATTTAACCCTTTTAAAACCTATGGAGTAGGCATGTTATTATTCTCATTTCTTCTCATTTTTCAGAGACATACAGAGGTTAAGTAATTTTTCTAAGGTCACACAACCAGTTAGTCATGGGGAGAGGATGACCCCAGAAGCCATGCTCTTTGCCAGAACTTTAAGCTGTTACAAGAACAGAGCTGTAAGAGCTAGATGCACTGGAAAATTATCACGAAAGGTTTCTAAGCCAGGAAATGACATTATAGGAGTGAAGTATAAACTTGAAGTAACACAATTCAGAAATTTCAAAGCAAGATGCTGTTGTAACAGTGTCTATCAAGCATGTCTGAAAGGGTGTCTCCTGTCCACGCTATCAAAGGGAATTAAGTGAAGACACCTAGTGGCTTCAAGTTTCAGCACCTTGGAGAGAACTTTAAGTGTAAGCCAAATTCTATCTGGTGGCTTCCAAGCAGTTCTGCTTCTGGCACCTAAAATAATCCTCTGACAAAGATAATTAAAATGTACATAGAGCAAATATGTCTTTATTGAGGAAACTTCTGAAGTTCATGAAATGTGACTCTTTTCTCTTGTGATATATAGTGAATCATCTTAACAAGTTACCAATGTGCCTATCAAATGAAGGAACTATACAGAGCTGAGGAGAGGCTGTTATTGGTGTGAATGAAGGGCGCTGCTTCCCTGAGCTGTGGGGGTGAAGAAGGTGCTGATGCTAACCTGACAGCAAAAGATGGGGGTGGAAAGCAGAACGAGATGCCAAGGATCTAAGTAAGGAAACAGGAGAGGGAAAAGAAGAAGACAGATTCAGAGAAGCAGGACAAGCAAGAACATCTTGCACTTATTAAGAGCCTACAGTATCTGAACTTTAGGAGTCTTAAATGTGTTTCTTTAAGCCTTCAAACAGTCAGAATAATATAGTTATAGTTTTTCTCATTTTACAGATGTAGGAATGGAAAGAAAGAAAGGGTGAACTGTGGAAAGAAGGAATGTGGAAAGCAAGGTGGGAGGGGGAAGGAGGGAAGAGAAAGGAGAAGCAAAGGACCACCATAAAAACTGAGAGGTCAAAAAAAGAGAAGGGAGAGGAAATAGTGTTCTTACAGAGATACAAAAGAAAACCAAAGAGAGAAAGGGGAAAATCAACACAATCTAAACCCCAGTGACCCTAAAAACAGGACAAGTTCAGATCTTTTTTTTTTTTTTTTCCAAGAAAGGTTCCATGGGAAGAGACTAATTGTTCCAATTCTTGCCCAAACAGAGGACACAGGAGGAAGAACACACACTGTGTTCTGGTTGGGAAGGGAGCCAGAGATTTGAAATCTGCTCCAGGAAAAGTATAACAATGGATCTGCAGCATCGGCCTGGATGCTGGATGCAGATGCTGGATGCTGGATGCTGGATGCTGGATGCTGGATGCTGGATGCGGATGCTGGATGCGGATGCTGGATGTGGATGCTGGATGTGGATGCTGGATGCTGGATGTGGATGCTGGATGCTGGATGCTGGATGCGGATGCTGGATGCTGGATGCTGGATGCTGGATGCTGGATGCTGGATGTGGATGCTGGATGCTGG